GTAAACACTGCAGTACCAAAGCCTCAGTTATCCCAGTCCATCGGAAAAGTATTGGGGCAGCGCAGAGAGAAGAACTCACTCCAGAGATCCTTTTTCATCTGCTGCTTCTAAAGTAAACCTTTTACTCACTAATTCTTTGTTAAAAATAAACAAACTGTTGACAGAAGAAATCATTGTCATATATCTATTAATTGATTCTACTTTGCTTCTCCCTCTTCTCCGATACAAGGGTTGCTACATGTTTCTCTAACACTACTGGCAAATCAGAATTTATTGTACATATGTTTGTATTCCACTTAATAAAAAATATACCTATATTTTCCGATGAACTTTGTTAGTAATTCATGAGGTAAGTGACTATTTATGCTAATAAGGGAGAGATTTATTCTCAAGCATAATGTATTACATAAATTTGAATGCAAAATGTTCAATTATGAAGTAAATACAGGTAATGCAAATAGTAAATTACATCCAATAAAAATATATAAAGAATGTGTCTTCAAAGAGAGAGAGGCTTTTATTTGCGTCTGTGAGTTGTTTAAAGAGAAAAGAATTAATAAATACTGAATTACTGTTATGAAGATTTAGCTCATAATTCACCAATCCATAATGACTCCTAGTAATCAGACTGTTGTTTCATATCCTCAAATATAAGGCAGGACTGTTTCCTCAGCAATTTTATCCCTACCAGATTATCTCGTCTGATTCTATTAATTCTCTCCCATAAATCTGCTAACAGTGATACGTGATTTACTTACCCTGTTAACTGATCTGAAGACTGTTAAAAGGATTTATCTAGCCCTGCACCTAGGAGCAGTTTGTGCCTTATCGTTCTGTTACTCTGAAGACGTCTTCCTGAAATCAATTTAGTGGGTTGCATAGTAAAATTCAGTGGACACTGTTTAGTTCTGCACCATAAAATAAGACACTAGATAAACAAAAGGAGCAGTAACTGTACTTAACGTGTTGTTCCTGATATGTGCTTAGGTTATAATGAATTACACTTTGAGTCCATCTAACGCTAACCTGCATGTCACCTTCTTCTAAACCTTTCGCCTTAGACAGACGCAGGCACACGCGCGCTACGGGCGTTCCTGCAGACACTGCTGCGCGCTCGAGCCGCGCGCGTTTGGATGTTTCACACCCCCCTGCACGGCTTGTCAGAAAACTCTCTTGCAATAAATATACGCTAGTTTGCGAGCTCGTGAACCAGGTCAGGCGCAAGCGGCGAGCAGGGCTCCGCGTTATGCTGAGAGCCGAGATGCTCGCAGACAAGACGCCGCGAGAGGCTGTGAAAGGGACGCCGTAGTTCCCGCTCTGCCGGGATTAGGGCAGGATTGTAGCAAACCGCGCGAGGGAAAGGGAGCAGTCTGGGGGAATTGGCCTGCGATAATTGTGGAAAAACTGAAGACTGAATAGCTCTAATTGAAATGAAAGTGTGTGATTGTTGTGAAAGAAACACTGTTAATAGAGGACTGTAAATGTTTAGACACCCATTGTGAATACCCAGATAATAAAGAAAAATACTACTAAAATGAGAATTGTATAGTGTAGGGAGGAGAATGTTGCTTCTGAAGGTTATCCAAAAATTGCTAATAATCTTTTTTTCTCTGGTTTGCTGAACACCAGAGACATTTTGGTGTGGCAGTTCTGTGTAATAATCACCCAAAAACAATATTGTACAACTAATAATTTTGCTTGCTGTTCTGGTAGGTCAGAGCTCCAATTTAATTTGCAGCACTTGCTTACATTGGTATCAATTAAGAGCCAGTACCCATTAGCTCACACAATCTCATACTCTTTGTCTATAGTTCAGAGTTTACTCAGTGAATTTACTAGTTTGCAAATGTAGCACTTTGAACGCTCATGTCCAAACAAACTAGTTTATGGGGCTGAAGACACATTTCCAGAGACATCTATCAAATGGGCAAGTGAAATACTACAACTGTACATTCTGGAAAGCAATACCCTTTTCATTTAAAAATATTAGCAGACATCGTATGTCTCACGTAGGTGAGAATGTTAAGTGATATACAGTACCACATTCATCTTGCTCAAGAAAAAAAACAAATACCGGGAATTGGACTGTCCTTTGGGGATTTATGCTGTGAGCCTGTAAGTTTTGTTGATTCCAGCCCTGGGAAGAAATGGGGAAGCAAGCCTGAGTGGCTGAGTTGCATTAAGTTTGTCGGGAACCACAGTCTGTAAGATAAACCTAGCAGATGTGCAGGGCTCTGTGTGCATGTGTGTGTGTGTGCCTTTGGGGACTGTGCAGTAATTTTTTCAGTGATGTTGGTGGCATTTTTAGCTTTACAGAATTGTGTCTGTGGTCCCTTCTAGATGTAGTTATCTTCCCTAACTTTGCAGTATGCCCTACCTTTTTCAGCTGTCAGGAACAGTACATGCCGTATGACTTGCAGATGTTAGTGCTGGCACTCGTACTGATAATGGCATAGTCAGAAGATGTTATCCATTTGCAAATCCACTAGCCAAGTGCTATTTCCTAAGCAGAGATTCTTTGGCTATTGCAAATGATGATTTTCACAGTCGGTGAAAAATTACCCAGAGACTTGCCTGCACCTACGAAGTAATACCCTGCGTGCAGTTATAAATAGCAAACTCCAAGGAGGAAGGGACCGGGCAAGGGGAGCAGGGAGGATTTGAAGTACAATGTTCAAGACGCTGGTTTAATATATGACCAAGTGTCAGAAGTCAGGTTTCTGAGAATTACTTTTCAGATAAACAACTTTATAGCCCTGCACTTAATCTTACTTACGAGAGACATCTCATTTATCACGGAATTACAAGTAACTTTAATTCTATCGATATTCTCATAAAGCCCGGTCGGGAAAATCGAGCCCGGCAGCTTCGGAGACCGGGTGTTTCCCCAAGCCG